TTTATTTTGCTAGTAAGCCTCATTTTCACTTTTTTCCCAGAATGGACAACGCTACATGCTAAATAAAAAATGGAATTCCCAGACCTTATTCAGCCTCCCTGAGACTCCCGACAGCTACCAGGCCTGAATATAAAGGTTTAGGCTCGTTTTTTTAAATTAATTAATTGAATTGTATAAGAGTGAGATTGCATAATTAACCAATACATTCGCCACTTCCAGTTGCTCGGGGGCCGCATTTGTAATTTCCTTTTATTTTCTCTACACCCGTCAGACGGTTTTTTGCCTGATCAGGACTATACTATCCCATTATAGTCCAATAGTAATCAGATGTGTGTGTGTGATAGTTTGTGTTTGCATATGTGTATGTGCGTGATACATCAACTTCGACTTTTGCACCTTTTACAACGTTTAAAGACAGTCTAAATTAAACGCATTTCGCATTTATCTACTCTTCATCTCCCCGATGGACAAATACCCGTTCTCTATGCTCATCTGCCTCTGGAAGGATGCTTAGTCGGCTTACTGTGGATAGTTGACACCCGACAAGAAGCCATAGGCAGAGCAGCGCTCAGACCTTTGATATAAGGCTATTGCCCAAGGCTGCAGACTAGACAGCATGGGCTGTTATGTACAACTGGCATTCAGCTTTCGTCAGCAGAAGCAAGCCAGAGGCTGTGATCACTCGCCTGGGGCCCCATAGTTGATAGAATGGAACATTTAGAGTGCCTTCTCGAGTGGCTCGGCAGTAGACGCCGTCAATGAGCCCTCTTTTTGGCAAGCTGACAAGCCCACAAGACCTGGCATGCGGCTGAGGGAAAAAAATGAACGAATTACCGAAAGCTAAAATGGCTCAGATGACGAGAAGTCGCTTTCTTACATGTCGCTTTAAACTTAGATATTCCCAACTGTCTGGGCACAGCTTTGCGACCGGACCGATGGAATATTCCCAATTTATTGCTCTAACTAGATACCTTCCTGTATCATGCATGACCCTCTGCAGCCGGAATGAAACGCCAGAGAATTCTCCTAAAGCGTGAGTTTTCACACGAAAAGAAAACTTTAGTTTCAAAGAACCTCTCAAGGAATGCATGTGACTTAACTTTACATTTTAAATGTAAAGTTGATCGGTAAAGATTCGTAAATTAGCTCTACCGGAATCAAAACAAATCCTGAGATGCTGCACTAAGTGGAAAAATGAGATCTAATACTGCGCCAGATGCGCTATAACATAAATGTATATCTTATTACATTACAGGCAGGTCGCGATTAGTACGAGTAATTTGAACGGCAAAAATTTCGTGCTATTTAAAATCTTACTATTCGACGCGATTACAACTTATGAAGTCATTTAATTTGTTTCATCCCATTTAAAAGCTTAATATAAATATCAAAATACAGGGTTTAGTATAAGCACATAAATAGAGTGTAAAAATCAAAAATACTGATAATAGTGCAGCTTAGCATATGTAATCGAAAAACGATTAAGCCCATAAAAAATTTTAGCTGTTAAAAATCTAAAAAGTTTACAAATTCGAACTAATATATAAGGCAACAGCTGCAACTACATCAACTTCCGACTCATAAATTTGCCTCCCTCAGCTTCAAGCAGCTAGAGTAAGTTTAAGATAGCCAACCAAATCATGGGATGCCTCAGTGAGATCGCAAGGATATGTGCATAAAAAAGTTACAGTCAGCAACGTTTACTCTTGATTTTATTTTATTTTCTGCGCTGTTTCGTAAAGTATGGATTTTTACACATCCGGTGGTTCACAGCAGTACAGCCGAAAGCTTTGAGCAGGTTCATTGTAGTCACTGGAGCATGAGCCAAGAACTTATTCGCACAATCCAACTATTTTCACTCCATAGAAATGCTCCTTCAGGCTTAGATGAGACGATTTCATTAATTCTTTTCAATCAAATTTTCCATCGAAATGGAAAGTCATGTTACACTT